GAGAAGTCGGTGATGGCTCCTGGATACGTCATCAAACGTGAATATGTTTGGGGGTCGGGGGGAGGGTTAAATGTGTGGACAGCTTAAACCCTACCAAGACAGCCAGTCCAGTAGGGCAGCAAACTCAGTCAGCGGTGGTGGTCCAGTGGGTGAGAGGTGTTGATTTAGCTGCAGGAAGGAGGATTAAATGGCTCATTGGCGGGGCTAGGAAGGGAGAAGGTGTGAAGCGATCGGCCCTTTCTCTCTCTCTCTCTCTCTCTCTCTCTGTACCCCCTCCCTCTCTGTCTCTCTCTCTCTCACTCTTCCTGGTCTCTCTCTGCCTCTCTCTCATCCAGGAGAAAAGGCCATCGGGGCTGAACAAACAAATCACATGGCCATCAAACGCTACTCACCACTGCTGCATTGGGACTTCATTCAGACAGAATTTTACTGGTCTCTGCAGTGTGCTCTCTCTCTCTCTCTCTCACACACACACACACACACACACATACACACACTCACACTGCTGAGTTTGAGATGACAGAGATTTTACAAGTCCCCACGGTGTGAGGTCTCTTATTCCCTGAGCAGCAGTAGAACAACATCAGCAGTATGTGATGAGGGAAAACAGCGCAGAGGGGCATTTGGACAAACTGTTGTTATTTGGCACGGTCTGAGTGAGTTGTCAATAAAAGTCGTGAAAAAAAAGGGCAGTGAAAGTTGTAACAGTTTTGTAATGGGAAGTCGGTGTCAACTCCCTTTAAAGTTATGGCCCATTTGGAGAGAAGTGTGCTCACATGCAGCGAGGATGCACCTTACAGGACGTGGAAGACTGATGGCGAAAACTGAAAGTGGTCGTTGGGTCTGAAACTGCTTTTGCGTGTAGATGTGCACGTGTCTGTGTGTGGTTTGAACGGTGTGTGAGCGTGTTAGCGCACGTGTGTGTGTGTGTGTGTTCGCCTGAGTGAGGCACAACAACCTGCCTGCAGCAGAAGCCTACGGCTGGCATTTAGTCTTTTTAAAAATGAAACTTTTGCTTTCATGTTCTCTCCTTCGCCCCTCGGTTAGCCACTAAATGTCACTCTAGCTTCTTTTAAAACAAACAAAGCCAGTTGAGTCTAGAATTAGCTGCTATTTGAAATGGCTGCGAGCCCTGAGAAGGAGCCCCGGCAACCCTTTAAAAGTGTATCATGCACACAGCGTGCAGCAACACCCCATTAGTTTTCAAAATCAGACGGAAAATATCTGAGAAACTCTCTGACTTGACTGGATAATCACAGGCGTTGGATATTAAAGGGCTGCCGTGGTCTGATGTAGTGATGTGGGAGAGGCTGAGATAGTGGGAGAGAGAGCTGGAGAGTCAGAGGGAGAGAGAGAGAGAGAGAGCAAAGGCCACAGACTTTGGGTTTTCAGCTACGCTAAATAGCAGCTACCTCCAAACCACACTCGACATGGAGCCGCGGCCAAAGATAAGTCTTCATTGACATAAATGTCATAACATAATCACAAGGAGCTTAAATTGTGAACACTGTTGCTATTGGATCTGTGAAGAGAGAAGAACTGCTGTGTTTCATCAGCTGTTTCCAAAGTCTCTGGAGGCCAGCGGCGAATCCACACGTAGTCTTAGTCCTGAATGTCCACCGAGAATTTTTAAATTCTTAAAAAGTAAAGATTTTTTGTTTTTGTTTGTTTGTTGCAACCCCTGACAAAAGATGATTTAATCTGGTGGTGAACGTGTGTATTGCAGGTTTTATTTTTTTTCAATTATTTTTAAAAATCCTGTTGATCACAGGCTTTGCGTATACGCATGAAGAACCCTTAGGATACAAGACACATTGTCATATGTCTCAACCAATGAGAGCATTTGGGGCGGAGCTAGGACTGCTGTATCGCTCACATGAACAGAGAAAAGGAGGAACTGAACGTTTCCTTTGAAAATCTCTTCCAGACACAGAACGAAAACAAAGTTATTTGTAACGACGTTGGAATATTGAACTATTTTTAACACATATAAAATGTATTAATCTTTCAAATGAATTGTGTATTTATTTTTATCATGATTTTAAGTTTTTCATATTTACTAGAAAGTGTAACACATTTCTTTTTTCTTTTTTCACATTAAATTCAGAACAACAATTGCAGCTAACGTCCGTGAGTTTTACTCATGAATACTGCGTATGTGCAGTACACACCCTTGTCTGAGTGTGAGAAGATAGCAGCTAATTCCTGCATTGTAAATGACTCGTGTACGGATATACCACAAACAGAACTACTATTAAAGTGAGGAGTGGGTCTGCTGGAACGGCACAGAATGAATTGTGTGCTGCTTTTCTCCCAGGGTTCAATGTGTTTGTCAAATGGCTGTCTCTATCGGGAGGCGGTCTGACATCTGTAATGCATTTTTCTGTTCTTTTTGCATGATTAAGCAAACTTGGCATGCAGGTGCGACCCAGTGGACTGCACCAGTACAACAATATTCCCAGAACAAATTAAAGTAGCTGTCGTATGGATCAGTCACACACACACACACACACACACGCACAGGTTTCTGCACACAACAAAGCAACAAGACGAATGACAGAACCAATCTGGAATCACAGGAGAACAAGACAGAAATCAAACAAATTCATGGAATAACAAATATCTTAAACGAAAGGTTTGGACTTCAGAGAGAGCGAGAAGAAAAAGAGGGCGGAACTTCCAGTGAATAATGTCGCTCGTCTGCTCTGATGTCTGCACTTCTGCACCCTGACTCCACCCACCACAGCAACTGCTACAGTGAGGTGGTGAAAGAACACCCTAAACTCCGAGCTGCTTTCTTCCCAAAGCAGCAATGAAGAGGCCGTTGCTGTTGAGCGACTGTTTTTATTCCTCGGCAGGCTCGTCGTTTCATTCACATGACCCAGACACAGAGGAGGGGGGGGGGAGAAGCTTTTTCACACTCTCATTTACGCAGTGGAGCTCATCACTTGGCAATCTGTCCCTATCACTTTAATTGGCTTATAATGCCGACTCTGATCTTGTCGCCCAATTAACAGGCCTGTCTGGCAGTAGGACTGGGAAAGTGGTGAGCATGTGATGCTTCCCGATGTGTGCCATATGGAAGACAAACACTGATTGGCTGCTGATGTTACTTTTTTTTCTCTGCATCTAAGTCGAGTGTGTGTGCGTGTGTTGTCTGATAGTAAAGAGGAAACTGTCTGTGAGAAACACGACCGGACGTTCAGAACTGTACAACAGTCTATATACAGATATACATATATATATATATACATATATATATACAGTATATGTACACAGGAGGTCCTTGACTTACGTCAGAGTTCCGTTCGTACGGACTTGAATTTTACAGTTAGTGGAAACTCCCATTCAGTACATCATTTTCATATGTCACTCACCTACGCTAACACAGTGGAAACATTATAAAAAAAAATCAGAAGAGTCTGACTTACACCTGGGAGTCAAGATGAAGGGCAAAAAGTTCCCCCAAAAGAACAAAAGAAAAGAAAGCAAATGTAGCACAACCCAATATATGGAGTACGATCTGTGAATGTAAACAAAGCCGTCCTCCACGTATGGCGCCACGTGACAACGTAATTGTCGGAATGATGAACAAGACTTTTTTAATATGTTTGGCCCTGTGACTGCAGCGGTCACGACTGGGAGCGTATTTAATGGATATAAAGCCACGGCTTATGTTCCGATCCTTCTGATCTACTGCTTGCAGAGATCAGGTGTGTTTATAGAGCAGGGGGACGGTGGTAACAAATGGCCGCCGGGTGTAAATAAAGCCTGTGATTGTTTTCTAGAACAGCGCACGACGACAACAAAAGGAGAGAACAACAAAGGCTGCAGTTTGCTCCTTTGAATAGATGTACATCCACAACCTAGTAATCAGTTGTTGTGCTGCAGCGTCTGTGGTGGCTGCTCCGTTCAGGAGGACACTTCCCAGGCTGAGAATAAAACCCAGGAATCCTGCGGCCGTCTGTCATTAGGACACACTGACGACTGAGGGCGCGTCAAATGGGAAGCAGATCCTTTAAAACTCTGTCCCACTTCAGGCTCCGACCCCAGAGAAGGCCCACAGTCGGCGGTACGGAGAGACAGACGTTGAGGAAATGAGAGATCGGCCTTCACTGAGATGTTCATACAAAAGCTCTATCTGTTACACGGCCAACCGGCCGACATTAGCCAGAACCAGAACCGCTGAGCTCAAAGAAACTCTGTGTCTTCACTCAGATCCTCCGTCTTTCGTTCCAGCTGCCCTGTAGCGATCTGACAATGCTGCGGCTAATACCATCTATAGTCCTGGTCAGCAGCAGCGGCGGCGACAGCCTCAGGATATAATCTCCAACATCCCATCACTGTTTTCTTTTTCCTGCCTCCCTCCTGGTCTCAGTGATGACCTAATATTCCATAAAGAGCTGCCGTCCAATAGGTGCAGCGCTTTTAATTACACTGTCCAAATGTGTTTACCTTTCTGCTGCTCTGCCCGTTGACCAGTGTATAAACTGCAGATGCTTGGGCTCCAGCCAACGTGTCGGTGCCAGAGCATCCCCGGACTCTCAGCCCTTGGCAGGGACGCCACTAAACAGTGCACGACACGGAAGCCAGAGAAGAGAGAGGGAAGAGACGCAGGGACAGAAACAGAGTGGGATTATGGAATAAAAATGAAAGCAGAGTGCTGGGCAACGACTGCTACTGTGGAAGGCCAACGATGGATTGTTAAGTGCAATTGAAAAGTAGTTTATTTTGAATTGTATTCACTTTAGTACTGCTTCAGGACTAGTCAGTGCAGTAACATTTGGTTTGGAAACACAGTCAACAATGAAAGAGGTGAAATATTTACTGTGAAACTAGACTTTGACATGTCTTCAGATCCAGTTTAAAACCAAAGGTTTTGCTACTGCCGGGTCATCAAGGGTCATCAAGGGTCATCAAGGGTCATTAAGGGTCATCAAGGGTTGACCTAGTTACTACCAGAAGAACAAGTTGACAATATAAGTCATAACATATATACTCTATATATACTCTATATACATATATAATACTCTATACCTGAAGTAGTCCACTAGGACAGTTACTGTACCTTAGTGTTTGCTCTGAGAGGTTTCTCTGATCGTCGAGCAAATAATAATAATAATATTGACTGATTGATTATTGTTATTTCATTTTTATTTGAAGTAATTAAAAAAGTATCAAACGTAGGAGGGTGTATTGGCAATCACGATATCACGATACAGGGCCAACAATATGATATATGGCGATATACTGTGATACTATACATGCAGGGATTTTTAGAGGATCTACATTTGTAATCATCAAAGAAGAAATTTAAAACATTTGCAGGATTTTTTGGATAAACTAATGAAAAAATATAAAATTGTTTGACTGAAAGTCTCAAATACTTGCATATATATACAGTCCCTGTACAATCAACTAGTGGTCAGAGGATTAAATGTGACACAAAAATGAACCAACGCCATCAATATACACATTAATTATTACTAAAACATTTTATAGTTCTGTAGAATATTGATACGATATTGTGAAACGGAATATCACAATATATTGTTGATACTTATTTTAAATTCATAAAAGAATAAGATACTACTACTTCTACTACTACTACAATCATTGTCAGGACTGATTACTGAATGTGTTGAAGTCCTAATTGATGTGATAACTTGCCTAGACCTTATAAGAACCAAGAAAAACCAGAGCAGATGAAGGAGAAAAAGTGGAACGATGGGAGTAGAAATGTCCGTCTCCCTCTCTCTCTCTCTCTCTCTCTCTCTCTCTCTCTCTCTCTGTTCCTGGGCTCCTTTCAGCTGACTGCAGGATGATCCCACCGCTGCTGTTTTCCCATTAACAGGCGCCACATCTGTTCCTCTCATTCCGGCCGCTCTTTAAAGTCCCTGAAGGTGCAGTTAAATTAGAGCCAGCACAGGTTTATAAATGTAAAATCCTCCAATAATCTGGAGCTGACATGACCCCTAATCTTCCCGCTCCAGTCAGCAGGGTGAAGGCTGCTAACTACAGCTTTGGCAGCAGCGGCACGTCAAGTCCAGAGGACTTTAAAGAGGAAGGTGCAGACAGGGAGGGATTTTTATGGGGGAGCAGCTCCGTGTTTGTGTTTCGGGCAGTTTTAAACACACACTGCTGTTGATTGAGGTTACTTCATCACTACTCTGCGACCTTGAACAAGAGCGCTCTGGGTGGAGAAAAAAAAGACAGATTTCTTCTTTAAAAATGAGTTTCCTCATCTTTGAATAAATAATTCCTAAATATCTGACCTTCCAGGTGTGGAACAAAACACCGTTTTCCCAGAAGGGTTTTTTTTTTCTCCAAATAATTTACCTTGTTGCTTTTAATTTAACAAATATTCAGCATAAACACAAAATCATTCAGTTCAGGACGGAAGCCTTCAGGGACAGAAATGGCACCAAAAAGGGACGGGGAGAGGAAAGGGAGAGGCAGAAACCCCACGTCTCCCAGCTCCGGGGGCAGGGGTGGGTGGGTGGGAGGGGGAGACGGGGAGGGCTCACTAAACTAGCCTGTCTAATGCAATTAATCTAATTGGAGCCGGCATAAAGTGACAAATTACTACCTTTCACACCAGGGACTGAGAGAAAGCTCTGGAGATGAATGCAGAGAGGAGATACCAGGTAGTTAATGTTATATCTTTTAATGCCGTCTTAAAACCTCTAGTAATTGGTAGGAAAAAAAAAAACCAGCCCATTAGATAAAAATCATTTGCCATTATCCATTAGGCTTTGTACAGCATGTGTTCATTTTGATGAATATGTATTTCCACCAGTGGGTCGGTGGTTCGAGGCTATAAATAACAGCAGTCGGTTTGTTCCATTTGAACTGTTTTCAATAATGACATATACTGTATATCGGCAGTAATGGATTCCTGCGAGAGGCCGACTATTAGGCATTAATCATGTTTTGATATGTGTTAATCATGGAGTTAATTCACACACACCTCGCCCAAGCCGCTCGTCTCTGTAGCCGCGGCCCGGCCCAGTTTGTCGGCGTCTGCAGGGATTTACACTTGACATTTGAGTTTTTGATTTAATCCGGGAACATATGCACATGAACTCTGCATATTTCAGTGAAATCGTGTTAATGCCTGCCCTTTTCTCTAACCTTGATTACTTGCTGTGCTATCAGGGAAAAAAAAAAGCCTTTTTTTGCAGACATTGATTTCCGCCCGCAGCTACTGCCCAGAACCTGGAGCAGCATATCTCAGCGGGTATAATGAACTTAAAGAAAGCTTGCTATTACAGAAACCTTTGACATTTTGACATTATCAAATGCCTTGGTTAAAACGCACATGTGGTATCAAAAAAAAAATAAAAAAATTGCACCTTTATATACATATGATTTGCATGCAATTTTCATAGGTGACAGAAGGTTTGGAGTTATTCCTCTATTTTCTGCAGGTGTTGATGTGAATCCATACACTCCATACAAGTCTTAATTAAAGCCAATAGCTGTTAATGTGTAGGTATATGTATGAATGTATTTGTATGTATTTATGTATGTATGTGCAAGTATGTATGTAAAGTAGAAAGGATTCGCCCGTAGTTTTTTTTTCACACACATATATCGGTGTTGTAATTCCGTGTTGGTGTGAATCCACTTACCAAGGAAAACCGTGAACTTTGATCCCGATAATTGTTCTAAACTGTGACCTGTGAACCACCGAGTCGGCG